CTATCTCTGAAACATGTTTCATTTATCATTGGTCTTTCTTTAATATATTTTAATATTTGAATAAATGTAGTACTCAGCTTTGGCGACATTATTGTAGCTCACTGGAGGATTAAAGTAACAATAAACTGCCACATTAAGGTGTCTCAATCTGAGACAGAGAAGCTGATCTACTCTGCTGCTTTGGCCCTCGCCACTGTGGCTGGAATATCTGCCAACTCAATTTTACTTTTCCCTGCTCTTCAAAATTTGCTGATTTTTTTCATGGGTCAAGAAAGTTAAACGCTCATTTTAAATTGATGATGGTGCAGAAATGTTTCTGCTTTCCTCAATGGATTAACTTTAAGTAAAGAAACATTGAATTAATATTTGTAGTCCAGTGTTTTTATAGTGAGATTTGTCTCTTGGAAATAAGTAGCAGCAGGGACCCAAGCTGGATTTAATTTTAATCAGTTTTTGCAAAGAACTAATAATTGACATTCTTTAAGAGACTATGGCTGCAATTCTTCCTCAATAGAAGTGGTAGTGACAGTGGCAAGAAGGGTAACTACTTGGGTAGGTTGTCACTGAGGATATACCCACCTCCTTCCTGCTATCTCAGAAATTATGTGCTGGGCAGGAAAGCCCACGGTTCCATGCTTGATCTTCCTGAACAGCTACCAGTTAAGGCCTTTAACAACAAAAAACAGAAATTTCTGGAGAAACTCAATTAATGATCATTTAAGGGCTTCATCCCACCTGGGCTATAATTACTTCAGTTCCAGACGAGATGAGCAAGTGCCATCCTGCCTGACTGATAAACCAGTGCATGTAGGCTGTCAGTTGGCAGGAAAATGCAGGGGCATGTGGGGGCCTCAATTTGCATTACCTAGAATGTAGATTACTTACCTATAGATCTTGCTGAATCAGTTTCATGATTTAATTGAAGTTTTATTCATTTCATTTGGAAAATTACACAATTTCTAGAACAAAATAAGGAGTGTGAAAATATAAAGAACTTTGTTTAAACTTACTCTTGCCACTATTTCCCATTTCTTCAAGTCTTCCTGCTTTGTAATAGGTAACACTTTTTACAATACCTGGCTGACGGATACCAGGCTTGGTCTTGATGGTAGGTTGTGGTACTTTTGGTAGTGTAACTAATTTTGCTTTTGTAACTGGCTTCTTTTTTTTAATTGTTTTGTCTTTTGGCACTTTGTGAGGAGGTGTTCGAGCTGGTACTTTTATTTTGTTTTCTGCTTTATTTGAATGTTTTTTTACAACTTTGGCCATTGATCCAGGTGTGTTCTGAAAATAAATGTCATACATTTGGTTATCATGAAAAACTTCACAATCCTCCAGAACCTTTGATTTAAGCTTTTTGCTGGGGTTTTCTTTTCTTTCCCTCCTTCCCTGTGCTACCAGCACACTCAGATCTCAATATTTCTGATACATACCGTTGCTCAACCCTACATCCTGCAGTCTGCTAGATAGTCTTTCCTGCTGTATCTTTGTCCCAGTTCTGAACATCTTTTTATTAGCCTGTCACGTGCTGTCTCATCCTCGAACCCCAAGTTCCTAAACTCTGGTTGGTGGTTCTCCTCCCATCTCCTTTATTTTAGGGAAAGGCAGTACAAACCAGTAACAACTGGAAATGAACATACATGTCATACTGGGCCTCCATTTAGAAGTGTACAAGATGGGTCAGAGCAGTATGTCTCATTCACTGGTTTTACTAGGTTTTTCTTCTTGGTACTCTTCTGCATCCTGCATTCACTGGTGATATTCCATTCTTCAATATACACCTGCCAGCTCCAACCTGCTCAGTTGGTTCCCATGTCTCTCCTTCCTCCAGTCTTCCTACATGAAAAGATACAAGCAGCTTGCAACCAATGTTAAAATGTTAGACTAGTAGTTGAGGACTCTGGGTCTGTACTCAATGGAGTTTAGAAAGATTAGAGGGATGTCATTGAATTGTCCTTGTTACAGAATACCAGGAGGCCTGGATAGAGTGGACATGGACAAGATGTTTCCATGAGTAGGAGAGACTACGACTCAGTTGCACAGCCTCACAGTAAAGGGATGACCCTTTAGAGCTGAGATGAAAAGGAATTTCTTCACCTACAGTGTTGTTAATCTGTGGAACTCATTGCCGCAGAGGACTGTTGAGGCCAAGTCATTGAGTGCATTTAAGACAGTGATAGATAGGTTCTTGTTTTGTCAGGGAATCCAGGGTTACGGAGAGAAGGCAGGAGAATGGGGTTGAGAAACATATCAGCCATGATCGCATGCCGGAGGAGAATCTATGGGCCGAACAGCCTACTTCTGCTCCTATATCTTATGGTCTTACTATGTTGGACCATTCCAGTTTATTTTAGCTCCATGCTAAATATTAGTTGGGACTTGCCTGACTGTGCCTGGTGATTGCTATACCCTGGACAAATCACACTGACGTATGGAGCTGGTTCCTATTTTACAACCTAAAAGTAAACCGGACATTGATCCATCACATCTTTGCCAGTGTTAATCCTTCAATTACTACTCACTGAAGTCATCAAACATTTGCCTTTACTTTGATAACAAGGTGTAGAGCTGGATGAACACAGCAGGCCAAGCAGCATCAGAGGAGCAGGAAGGCTGACATTTCGAGCCTAGACCCTTCTTCAGAAATGGGGGAGGGGAAGGGGATTCTGAAATAAATAGGGAGAGAGGGGGAGGCAGATAGAAGATGGATAAAGGAGAAGATAGGTGGAGAG